TCCTGCTGGTGTGCCCAGAAAGCCTGGAATGACTAGAGACGATCTTTTTAACATCAATGCTGGAATTGTCAAGACACTTTGTACTGCTATTTCTAAGTACTGCCCCCATGTGAGTGCTTGTTTCCTTGTGTTTCCTTGTGTTGCCACTGTCAATGTTTTGCTTTGATTTTGTCTTTGAAAAACACATACTGGCTTGGCGGCACTCTTAGATGAAATGAAAATTTCATTATGATCTGTTTTAGCCTGTTACTCTGAACGCACTTTTAAGACTGGCTTGAATTGAGTTGATTTTAAATAAATTTTTTTTGGAATTTAATTGATTTTAAAATTTGAATTAATGGTCAGTAGCAATGATAAATGATAGACATGATTTTTCCCCATCCATTGGAAGTATAGGCCTGAAGTCTATATTATGTCATGAATTAAATCAAAAGAGTAATTGTGTGCATGTCATGTTCTATATTATGTGTGGTGGGCCTGAAGTCTTTTATAATCATGATTTTTATTTGATACTGATCATTTTTATCTATGGAATCAGGCCCTTGTTAACATGATTAGCAATCCTGTGAACTCCACTGTTCCAATTGCTGCTGAAGTTTTCAAGAAGGCTGGGACATATGATGAGAAGAAATTGTTTGGTGTTACCACCCTTGATGTTGTTAGGGCAAAAACTTTCTATGCTGGGAAAGCCAATGTTCCAGTTGCTGGTATGTAAAGTGTAATAAACCTAGCAGTTACTGTAATGTGTTGGTTTGCTACTGTTGTTAATTCTGTGATGTTTAGATGGATCATATGTGGAAGACAGTTTGGTGTCAGCTTTATGTGTCATATTTTTGTGAAAAAGTCCAACTAATTTCAAGAGAATAAATCTAAGTGTTTTTTAATCAAGTTGGAGGGGTTTTTTGGGTGGGGGAAGGGTTGAAATTGAATAATGATTCTGCGTTTCTTCATATGCAGAACAATTTGTATTTAATTGTGCATAACATTTGATTTGAGTTGTGTTTATTTATGTTTCCGCAGGTGTCAATGTACCTGTTGTTGGTGGCCATGCTGGCATTACCATTTTGCCCCTATTTTCTCAAGTACCTTCCTGCTCTTTTAACTACCTTTTTCTCTGTGGAATCTAGTATGGATGCCTTGCTTCATATGCACATATTAATCCTTTTAACATTTTTTCATTTTTAAAGGCCACACCAAAAGCCAATCTTGATGACGATGTCATTACGGCTCTTACAAAGAGGACACAAGATGGTGGAACGGAAGTTGTGGAAGCTAAGGCTGGAAAGGGTTCGGCAACTTTGTCAATGGCGTAAGTCTGGGATTAATGAATGTTTGATCTTGATAGTCACAGTTCACTCAATGAAAATTAATACTAATGCAAGAATTGTGTGTCGGTGACAAGTTTTGCCAGTTATGGATGCAAAATCTGATCACTCATTCTTAACATATTATCTTTGTTGTAGCTATGCTGGAGCTCTTTTTGCTGATGCTTGTCTCAAGGGCCTCAATGGGGTCCCAGATGTTGTTGAGTGCTCATTCGTGCAATCCACTGTCACTGAACTTCCCTTCTTTGCTTCCAAGGTCATTGAACTTCCTGCAACACTTACATTTATAATTTTAATTCTGAGTAATTTAGGGGCTGTTTGATTTGAGAAAACGTTTTGTTTTCGTTCTGTTTGTATATGAATCAGTGAAAAACAGAAAATAATAAAAAGTTGTTTTCACTGTTTCTCGTTTGAACTTTAAAAACAAGAAACAAGGTGAATAGCAACTTTGTAAAATAAAGTGAAATCAGAAATTGTTTGTTCAAATCAAACAGTCCCAAAGGTTCGAACTCATTTTCTCCATGCAGTGCCTGTTTTCGCTTAAGGTTCTGTTTGGATAAACATCTGTAGAAGTACTTTTAGGAGAAAAAAAATGAAATAAGTTTCTCTTTATGATAAAATTAGCTTATGCTTAAATTCATTTATAGTGACTTGTTAGTTTTTCTAAAATCTTATTTAGTTTTAGCTTTCATTGAGAAGTTTATTTTATTTCATTTTCCCCAAAAATAGTTCAGGAGAAATTTATTCAAACAGACCCCAACTTTATTGTAGAGATAGTGAGATCCACATTGGTCTGCTTTTATACTGCTATTGAGAAAATGGTGAAATGTTTTGCAGGTGAGGCTTGGGAAGAATGGTGTGGAGGAAGTTCTTGGCTTGGGACCTCTCTCAGATTTTGAGAAACAAGGCCTTGAAAGCCTTAAGCCTGAACTCAAATCATCCATTGAGAAGGGAATCAAATTTGCCAACCAGTAATTGAACATGTGTGATAGGTTACTGGACAATGATATTCCTTTAAGAACCAAATCAAATTTTGCAATCTCAGAACCATTGTTGTATTGTTGCCGGCAGTGGTGGCGGCTTTGTTGTTTTATTTAGAGTAGGTATACGTCTTGATTAAATAATTTAAGTCTGAGAGCAGTTTGTTGCACAAGGGATTGATTGAATGTTAAACCTTCTAGGTTTTGGCCATTCCATTTAATAATGGTCCCTCTTTTAACTTGATGTATGGTTTCACATAATGTAACTGCAGGGTGTTTTGCCCTTTCTCCTCTTTTCAAAGGTTTTTGCTAGCTTTTTTTGAGGGCAGACAACTGAGTTGTAGGGTTAAAGTTAGATATAGGACCAAAATTTATTAGAAGTTATTAGATGAGTAAAGTTATAAATTTATGATTTTAAAATATTTCAGTTAAAAATATTTAAAATTGTGGAAGAGAATGTATTAGCATTTTTCTTATTCCATTTTGGGATAAAGAAAGAAATGCGAGATTCGGATTTTGTGGGGCACGCCAATGAGTTTGTTTAGAGCATTTTTGTTTTGCTGGTGTTAAAACTTTGTTAATTAGTGATTTTAAGATGTTTAATTTTGCTTGAATACAATAAAATAAATCATTTTTTTAATGTATTTTTTATACATGATCATTTTTATGCATTCAGCTTCAAAAAAAATATAGCTTATTTTTTAAAAAATAATTAATATTTTTCAGCTAATTTTCCAAATAACCAACTACTTTGGCAAACAAATTTTTCAAACCGTACCTCATGAAAAGTCTTGCCTCTATAGTCACTACATGCAATGTCTATATTTAGGAATAGGAGGGAATAATACAGGGTGGCTTCATGGGTTAGTGTTATTCTCTTGGGTTCTGTCTGGAGCATTTGTTGGAATGCCTTTTATTGGATTGATTCTTAATACCTGTTGCTTTTAATTCTTATTTTACTTCATCAGGCAAAGAAGGTTGGCAAGATGTGAATCCTTTTTATTTTTAATTTTTTTTTATATTTTATCTTCTTTATATATATGACTATCAAATGATACATTAGGAGTGTAATGTAGAGGATAAAACATAATTATAATTATTGGTTAAAAATCAATAAATGAAATACATGTAATCTACACCTATATATAAAGGAAATTCTTTGTTTTCATGTACATATTATTTTTGACAATTTTAACCCTTTAAAAATTACATAATAACAATTAGTATGGGTCATAAAAATCTTTTAATAGTAAGTTTTTTTTTTAATCAGAATATTTGATAAACTGTCCACCATCTCTATTAACATAAAGTATTTATAGTGTCTTTTCTTCACCGGTGAATATAAAGTTATAAAGATATAAATTGTTAATTTATTTATTCAATTATGATGTGTAATATTCATTCACTTTAAACAAGTTCGATCCTTTTTCTTCTTCCTTTTCTTTTTCTTTTACTTTTGTTTTTCATTTTTTTTGTCATTTTTATCTCATTATAACCATGAAGTAATTTTTTTTTTATTGCTTCTCATTCCCTTTTTTCTGATTATTGGTGGTGGTGGTTCCTTCGTTTGAGTTGATTTGGATTCTCTCTCTCGCCACACAAAAAAGGTGATCTGGATAGTATTTTCCTTGCTTTTGATTCTTGAGATATCACAGCCTTATAAATTTCTCTGGATAAGGAATAATATGGTTTAATTATACCCAATAAGAATCTTCTCTAGGGAAGGGCCTCAACTTTTGTTATAACTTGTAACTTTTGTGCTTTTCTTGACGATAGATGTGAAAATTTATGAGAAACCCGAATCTTGAATATGAGGCCAAATGCACACTACATTTAACTAAGTTAAACCTTGATTGATGTCTTTGCTACACCATGGTTCAATCAAGACTTGAATATTCTCAGGCCAATAGTATTTAAATAAAATGTACAAGTTGGAGTAGCATGGAAACAAAATAAATTCAATATTTTTGTTGGTTTGGTTAAGAATATTTCTATAAATTAATTTATATTTAAGTTAATTTTAATTTATGAAGAAGTTTATTCTATTTTTTGTTTTGTTTTTCAGAAGTGGTTATGAAAAAATTCATCCAAACAAACCTTATATCAAGTTATTTAGACCTTGGAAAAAAGACTGATGCAGTTTGAATTACGCAGGTAGCATTAAATCAGATCACGACTCTTGCAAGTTGCAACTTTCATGTGTTGATCAAAGAGCCACATATGCAGGATATGTTTTTTTATATTTTATATTGATAATGAGGTTGATGCTGAAATATGGCTGGGTGATTTTGCAATGGCAATGCATTTGTTTGTTGGGGTGGCACATTAATGGTTTAGAATTTTCAGATCAATCATGTTCAGATATTGTGCAGGGAAAAGTTTATTGTAATTGGATAGATTTAGGTGTTTTTCCTTCTGAATTATATTGCTTCATATACTGTATTTTCTGTTTTGGATTGGTTTTGACACATCTTGTAATCAAACCATGCAGTTATTGAATGAAATTATTCAACCTTTCAGAAAACAAAACTTATTTTGTACTATTTATGTGAGAGGATATAGTTGAAGGTTCGCTCTGAACTTTCATGAAGTTATGCTTTATTCTAATCTAAATTTATTTATCAAAAAAAGAGAGTTCAAACAAAAACCATTAGAATCAGCCTAATGATAAGAAAGATTAGGACAGTATGTAACGAGTCTTAGTTAGATCCAAACTCTGTAGCAGTTATATGACAAAAAAAAAAGAAAATAGAGTGCAAGCATAATATCATAAGTTTCAAATAGCCTTACTACTTTAGTATTGACACATTTAATACGTGATCAAAGGTTGTTTCAAATTGTCTTTGAGAACAGCCTGAAATGTCAAAGGTGTGTTAATCACATTCATAAGATTGCATTTTGAAAGGAACGTGTCAATCCTGTTCTTAAGTGCCAAAAGGTTGCAACGTTAGTTTTCTCTGGCTATTCTTTGTGTACATGCTATGCATGATTTCAGATGCTAGACTTTTTCATAGTTGACAAACATAAGCAAAAATGATTATTTGTGAAATCATATCATTATGTACGTGCACTATAGTATAAATTCTATGAGTATAGAAAAGAATATGCAGCATCTGAGTTTCTGAATTATGCATTTCATAGAACATATAATCTTACAATGCAGTCCTTGTTTATTGCTGCCACCAAATGGATCAGACGGCATAAGATTAAATTAACTGAGACAATATTATTCTAATTCAAGCAATGTCTTGAGTTTGAATTCTAGTACGTTATTGTGTTAACCGTTTAGTTAAAATTGAGTTTAGTAAGGTAAGGAAAATTAAAATACACCAAGATTTAATTTAATCACAAAAGTTGAACCTCCATCACTAGATTTATTCATTGTTTATTCAGATCATATAAGCAACACAAAATAAACCAGAAATGTAGTTTCAAATATTTGAAAGAGTACATGCAGAAGTGAAAATAAGACAAGTATCAGCAAGTTACATCACATTATTCATACCCCATCTTCCAACTTTTACTCCTTTTGACACAACCTTAGAGACAAGAGAACAAGTAAAAAAAGTGAATGTCAAAACGAGTTTAACTTATTACCTAGATTCGTTACAAAAGGATCAATACATTGTTCATTAACTTTGTTTTCAATTTGACATGGCTAATGATGTTGAGGATCTGGCCCTGCAGGGGAAACTCTCTCTAACCTTCCACCAAGCATTGACCTCTTCTGGTGCCACTCATCATTTCGCACATTGTTGATTAACTCACGTAACCCATGTTTGGTATCAACCTTGTTACTTATTGTCGAGAACTCTGAGAAAATTCTTGCCTCTGAACTTGCTACAAGCAATGTCAGAACAATTAGGAAACACATAACAAATTGCATTGACTTCATTGAACTAGCCATGATCTTACAAAATCTCGAGTAGAGTAGAAAATCAAATAGCTAAATCAGATGCTTATGTATGGATAATTTGATATATACCACAGAGTGTAGCAACTTATATATATATATACACACACCAAGGGGAATACCTACAATAGTCCTATTGGAATGTTGTGTAAGCATTTAACTACCATCCAAGTGCATGCAATTAAACTCTATGTTATTGGTTTGTTTGAATAAACTTTCTAATAAGTATGAGAAAAATATTTTTTTATAAATCGAAATTAGCTTATATATAAATTTGATTTGTGAATTTCAACTTCTTGCTATAAAACACGATGTTACTATGTGGAATGTTGTATAACCCTTTTGGATTTTGCAACTTTTGTAGCTTCTTCCTCTCATTAATTTATGAAGCATGTCTTAAGGTGACCAAATCTATGCATCGTTGATTGTCTTGTTCAACCTGATGAAAATACTGAGTAAGAAAGCAGAAACGACAAATGACCCTTTAGTCTACCTTTTGAATGATCCTTTGTCTTATATCTGAATGCAAATATGATATGAAATGATATGAAATGAAAATGTTCTATGCTTTCTCCATGTTCATATGCAAGGTCTAGTTGGCTAAACGCCGTCTTTGCATTTTTTTTTATGTGCATGTCGTTTGGCTCATTTCCCACGATTTCATCAAGTTTTTAATTTTATTTTATTATTATTCTTATTTATGAAAGCTTGGTCCTATGAAACTTTTGGCTGCCGTCCTATTGATAAAGCTTTGAAATTGATATTTTTTAAAGACTTAAATATATTTTTTTGCTTATAAAACCATCTTTTAGTCTTTTATGAGTTATTGAATAGAGTAAGGTTAAGTAAACTTTTTCATAGAGTAAATTGATTTCTCCTCGGTAAAAAAATTAACTTTCATCCACTTACACGAAGGATGGACTAGCCAAACTTGTAGCTCCTGTTCAACGGTTCAACTAGATAATTGACTTGGTGAAACCAATTTTTACTAGGTCATTTACGCGAATGATCTAATAAGAGGTTCGAGCCATTTTGTTTTTGGTATGGTCGGCTAGTTTGAGCCAGCCTGGACATATTGGTTTTTACTAGATGATCCAAGAAGAGGTTTGTACCATTCTTGGTTTGACCGACTAGTATACGCTAATTTTTAAAAGGGAGTTGCTACTGTACCCTTAATAAATGAAGGGTTTTGGTACTATATCTGATGTGTATGTACACATCATTTAAGTGTTATGTCAGCCTTTTAAATAAAATTTAATTTTTATTTAAATTTTTATATTATTTTTTTTATTAATATTTTTATCATTATATAGTAGCAACCCTTGTCTTCTTGTGCACCGTGATCTCTATCGTTCTCCTCCTCCTCTTCGTCTCCCTCCTCTACTCCC